CGGGAGGAGGCCGCCTCGTAGTCGGCGTTGAAGCCCGAGAACATCATGGTCGCGGGGCTGAGGGCGGAGGCCGGGGGGCTGGCGGGGAGCTGCTGGGGGCGCGGGGACAGTTCGCTCGCGGCGCCGCTACCCGCTCGGGCTCCGGCTAGCTGCTGCTCTGCTCGCTGCAGTTGCGGTTGGAGTACGAGGCGCCGCAGCCGCCGCTTTTATAACAGCATTTTATGAATGAGTCCCTACGTCACGGGCGGAACCATCGCGGCCCCGGAGGGGGGGCGCTGGGGCCGGGGGGCCCCCGAGGCTGCCTCGCCGCCTCTCCTGAGCTCGCGGCGCCCTGATCTCTGCCTTATAGTAGTTTTGGATCCTGTGAGCCTTTAGAAATGTGGGTCTTAGGGGTCCAGTCGCCCCCCAAATGGGAGGCTTCAGGGACTTCTCCCCCCACGACTGCAGGGAACGGCCGTGGAAACCTGCTGACGCAGATGTCCTAATATGGACATCCTGTGTATAGGGGGAGGGACTGACGGGAACTGCTATCAGACTGAAGCCAACACCAAGGGTGCAGCACTGGGGGAGGCGGGGGCCGCGCCGGGGGAGGGGGACGGGAAAGCAGAGAATGCGAGCGAACATTCGCACCTTGGTCAATGCGGAGCATTGTTCCTCGGGTGGGGGTGGGGACGCCTCTTTGCGGACTGTACAGAACCCCGAGCCTGTTCTGAGGCTCAGGTATGAGAGAAACAGGTACCCGACCCCTTGGCCCAGAAGAATGAGCTCCCACCTCCATCCGTATCCCCAGTTCTAGACTCAATTCTGTTCAATCGTGGAAGCAGACCTTCACCTCCTCGCCTCTGCCCCGGGTCCAGCTAGAATCTTGGGACTATGGCTGTGCTTAGAAGCAGACTCGGTGTGTGTGTGTCTGCGTACCCCAAATAAGCGAATATGATGCTTGGGTATTCTCACGTATTTTGTTCTTGAGGAAGATAGTGTGTATGTGTTGTTTATTTTCTCTCTTTCTCTAGACTGGGATCTTAATGTCAACTCTCTAAGACGCCAGCTAGTAAATATAGGTCAATCCCCCCCTTGGTAAGGAAGTCGGACAGGGCCCTTAGCCTGGTTTGGGGCGGCCGGGGGATGGGGTGGGGTGATCGGGGATGGGGCGGCCGCTCTGGGTAACGGGGTGTAGTGCGCCACTTGGGGAGCGCTGGTCCGAGAGTTAGGGCGGTGGGGGTGGGGAGCTGGTTCAGTCCCGCCAGGAAGCCTGCAGCGGTGATTTTCCAGCTCGGATATGGAGGTGGGGGGAGGAGGGGGAGGATGGAGGCGATGGCCGGACCGGGCCCAACAGCGCCCAGGCCACGGACCGCAGTCACCAAGACCCCTGGCGCAGCGCCGCGGCCTGGGAAAGCCAGGGGCTCTGGAGCGCCCCGCGCCCCCAGACGCCTTTAGGCTCCTGCAGAAAACAGCCCGGGTCACACGGCCCCGGCTTGGCCCCAGCTTGCTGGCCACCGCGCCCAGGGCCCCGGGGCGGTGGGGCGGGGGATGCACGGCCCGCGGGGCCACCTCGAGAGGGGCCAGGTAGGTTAGGGAGCGGGCTGAGCGTTCAGGGAGCTCCGGGAGTCGGGCAGCCGACCGGCCTCGCGCCGCCGCACCCCGGAGCCAAGTGATCCTGCTATAGATAGTAACAGGGAAGCGGCTGTTTACAGCAACACAGCGCCGCCAGGGCCGTCTCCAGGCGACGCGGCGCGGCCGAGCGCGCCGTCCCGCCCGCCCTCCAGCTCCCCAGGGGCCGTGGCCTCCCGGGCCGGGCTGCGGCCGCTCCCGCCGCCTGACATCACCCGCTGGGTCCGGGGCCCGAGCGCGCTCGCGCGGGGCTGTGCACGAACCTGCATTCTTAGAGATCCCAGCGCGACGCGAGCGGGGAGGGCAGGGAGGCGGGGATCCGTGGAACTGGGTCACTTGCTATTTTTGCCTTCGCAGTCACAGGCAGAGGTGAAAACAGAATTTCATCATTGTATGTCACTGGTTTATGTCGGTGAGAATGTAGGTGTTTGTGTTTTCCATCCCATTAAAGCAGAGGAGAAGGAGAAATGGGAAAACGCACACCACACATCAACGCAGACTTCTAAAAGCAATTCTGAGGCCTTCCTTCTCAGTAGTTCCATCCTCCATTAAACTACTTCCCTGTCCTTGGCTAGTAAAAAAAAAAAGTATTAGGAAGGCAAATCCATCGCTCTTATTATTATTAGCTTCCGACAAAGTAGGTCAAGCTTTGAATTTCTGGGTCTGGCCTGGCCTTGCATTCATAACTGGATGGCAGGGCCGTGTGAGAGAAAGAAAACCTAGAATGAGTGGATTTACTTACCCTGCAGAGTTTGAAGCAGCTCAGGCCAACACCTAAAATTGTCAAGATTTTATATCCAGGATTTATCTCATAGATAATTTATCCTGCCTTTGATAATAAAAAAGGGACAGGATCTTTGGATGACTATATCTCCTTCCTTCCGATAGCTGAATGCCTTTCTTTTTTGGCACCATTGTCGCCAGAGAATTTGGGGGCTTTATCCCGACCTCTGAGAAGGACAAAGCATTCATTCATTCATTCAGTGCTGAGAGCTGGCACCTACTGTCCTAAGCAGAGTGGGTCTGTCCCTTCCCTCCTAGGTAGTCCAGTCTTATGGAAAAGACCCCCAAGTCAGTAGAGACTTGCAGGGAGAGGTTTGACAGAGGTTAAGAGCAGGGTGCTCCCCGAACACAGAAGGCTTGGGAAGCAAAATGTCCCCTAGGCAATGACAGGAGGACTGAGGGTCATCTAGGGAAGCAGGCATCTCCCCCAAAGCAGCTGTGTCACATGATACCTTCTCAGCCTCTCTTTCCCCTGCCCCACTAATATCTGAGCCTGCACTTGCAGTCTGAGCATGCTCTCCCATCCCAATCTGCTCCTGCGATCCCTGTCAGGGCTGCTACAACCCATGTCAAAACAAACAAACATGGCACCCAGGTAGGGTAGCCTCAAAATCAAGGCAGATCACAAGCACTCATGATGTTATTTTTGCCCTTTGGCAAGGTCAGGGTGACTTTGAAACTGGTGGTGTGTTGCACCACTACTCCCCACCCCCACCCCCTTGGGAGCAAGGCAAGCCTAAGCCTATAAAACCCAACCTGAAGCAGCTTGTGATTCTTTATTGATGCGATCCCTGCCTCCTATTTGGGGATCCAATACTCAAAAAGGTGGGGAGAGTCCTACATCTGATTCTAACCCCAGGTCAAAGGGTCTTCCTCATCACATCCAGACTTCCAGTCCATGCTTCTGCCTGTGGCCCTGGAAATTAAGAGACCTGAGCCACAGAAAGCATTCTGTCCAGTCCTGTTGGAAGATGGAAGATTCATGTTGTTTAGCCCGGTGTTGTTGCAACATTAAGTGAAAGCCTGCCGTCTGTACCGCCTACGTAAATGCTGCCGCAAACGGCCTGTCCCCCGTGTGCAGAAGCAGTTATTTGTTTGGGGAAGTGTGGTCCTGTGGTGTAGGGTTGTGGTCAGAGCACGGGACCAGAAGTCAGGAAGCTGCCTATACGAAAGAAAATCAGCTCCCTTCGGGTGGGGGTGGAGGAGAAGAGTCACTCTTAGGTTTGTTTTGGCCTCTATGGACGTCGGGCCTTTGTCATTTTGCACATACCACTGTTCACTTAGGACCCAGCACAGTGGCTGGCCCCCAGTAGGTGTTGGAAGCGTCTTACTGAACGAGCAAATGAATGAACGACCCCTCGAGAGGACAGGATGAGTGCAGATGGTCGTCCTTTCTGGGAACTTGGAATCCAACCGCCTTCGGAAAGGCTGAGCGAAGGCTTTTTTTATTCTTGGGTATGAATAGGCACAAATTGGGAAAGAGTAAATTGCAGAACGGTTTGGGCTATTTTCAGCCGGTGCAGCCTCTGTGGATCAAGAGCACCCCCGTGGTTCCTGACAAAGAGCCAACTTGAGCCTCTTGAGGAAGGTACCCAGGGCCCGTGATACCACAAGGACCACCTTGTCTGTGACGGACAAGGATTGCGTCACCAGCACCCTTCACCTTGATCATTCTGGTATCTGGACTTTCCAAGCCCCGCGGGATGGGATTCACACACATGAGGGCAGGGAAGGGAGCTCAAGGGGTCCAGGTGGCTCACTCCCTGGCTCAGATTGCTAGAAACAACGATTGCCCCTGTTTTAAGACAGAGGGTGTCACTCCCTGCCCCACCCCCACAAACACTCAGGCAAGCGCACACACCACCGCCCCCACCATCACTCATTAGTACTAGGGATTTCGCCTCTTTGGGAAAAACTGTTTTCATTCTGAGCAACTCTTGGCTTTCTGACAGGGCCTGATGATTCAATGGGATCCCCATCCTTCTGCTCCTGTGAGCGTTTAAACAAAGCTCTGTGTGGTCCTCGGGATGCACTCCATCTGGAGCTGAGGAAACCGCCCGCCTGCAACTAGGTTGCCTAAGATCAGGGCTGTCACTCGGGGAGGGGGGCACAGGTTGCACCAGGGAACGCTGTGGCAGATACCACAATGACTTGTCTAGAAATGTACTTGTCTACAGCTTTTCAGCAGACCCTATTTTTATTTTCTAAATCATTTTTAGGGGGCTCTTACAATAATCCACACATCAGTTGTATCAAGCACATTTGTACATACGTTGCCATCATCATTTTCAGAACGTTTTCTTTCTACTTGAGCCCCTCTTTTTTTGCCTCCCTCCACCCCACACCCTCCCACCCTCGTGAACCCTTGATAAATTATACACTATTATTATTTTCATATCTTACACCACCTGCTGTCTCCCTTCACCCACGTTACTTTTGTTTGCTCCCCATCCCCCGGCAGGGGGGCTATACGTTAATCAGTTAATCATTTCAATCGGTTCCCCTTTTCTCTTCCCACCTTCCCTTTACCCTCATGGTAACGCTATTGGTGCTGAGGGGTTTACCTGTCCTGGATTCCATGTGTCGAGATCTCTTATCTGGACCAGTGTACATACTCCTGTCTAGCCAGGTTTGTGAGGTAGCACTGGGGTCTTGATAGTGGGGGGAGAGGGGAAGGAAGCATTAAAGAACTATGTTGTGTGTTTCCTCTGTGCTATGCTGCACCCTGCCTGGCTCGGCCCTTCCTTGTGGCCCTTTTGCGAAGGAATGTCCAATTGTCTACAGATGGGCTTTAGGTCTTCACTCCGACCCCAGACGGACACTATTTTTCATCTTGAAGTTACAGCTAGACATACGTTTTCTCAAGTCCAGTTGACCGGCATCAGTATGCCTACAGAGTTAGAACTCTCTGCTCACTCACTGACTGGACTGGTGACGCCCACCTGCCAGCGCCGTCTTTATTGCTCAATTACGATGACGCTTCAGATCGCAGTGGTTCTGTCAGCACCCGTTGCTCGGTTTGCTGCTGCTGCTCTTTTTATAGTCTCTGAGTTTATCAAATGTTCTGGGGGGTTGAGTGACAGTATTGTGCTGGGTAGTATTTGTGAACCTCTACCCATAACTTTGCTCTTTTTTAATGAAGTAGGAACTAGAGGAAAGAAAAACTTCAAAGGCGAACTCACTGCCATCCAGTCGCCGGCCGCCGACTCAGAGTGACCCTACAGGACAGGGTGGAACTGCTCCTGTGGGTTTCGGAGACGGTCACTCGTTCCTTCTGGGAGCAGAGAGCCCGTCGTCCCAACTGGGAGGGGCTGGTGCAAAGCCTGTTTTGAACCAAGCCTTTAAAACTTGTTCTAACTCTGAATGGAGTTCAGTGCAGAGACAGTTTACAGAACGCTGTTTTCACTACCATCAAGCCGATGCCAATGGACAGCGACCCTACAGTGCAGGGGACAACTGCCCCTCCGAGGTTCCAAGACTGGAATCCTCTGGACGGCAGTAGAAAGCCCCGTCTGCTCCCTCGGAGCCGCTGGTGGCTTCAAACTGCTGACCCTGCGGCTAGGAGCCCAACGCATGGCCACTGGACTGGGCTCTGCTGTTGCTGTTAGTATTCATTTAATGTAAGTACAGTTAAAGCAACTTACAGTTACTCTTTCATGCCGGGGCCTATGGCTAATAGCGATAATCAATGCTAGGAAGGATTCAATAGAGTCCCCGGTGCAGGAGGAGGCTCCCTGTGGGGGAGGTGCGTGACACTGGGCGTTACCACACTGGGTGACACCAGCCCCGTGACGCCACTGCCCAAGAGGAACACAAGCTCAGCCCAAGCTCAAGGCATCTTTAGTTCGTGTCGCTAGTGGTAGCCTGGGGCGCTCCCCCTGTCAGTCAAGCGGAGGCTGGCCACAGAGCCAGGAGCTCCCCACTGGCAGACACAGAGGTTTCGGTGCCTGCGGCTGTCAGTGCTTCAGATGTCCTTAGCTGACCTTCTTGGGCTCTGGTGGATTTAGCTGCTGGAATTGCAAAGGAACTTTGTCTCACATCACTGAACCTATAACGTAACGGCACGCCCTGAGTAAGAAACCTCAGCAGTCTGGAGTGCGTCCGACGTGAAACCCTCCCCTGGGCAGCGCCAGGGCCCAGAGGGATGAGAGCAGATGGGTGCCTGTCTCCCCCAAGGGGTTAAGACATTTTTGGTGGTGTACAAGATTTGACCCACCACCCGACCCAAAACAAAAAAGTGGACTTTTTAAAGAGACATTAATCATGGAAATGCCCCCATTCCTCCACCCCTTCCTTTCAAACACCTGGTCCTGGTGGCATAGTGGGTACAAGTTGGGCTGCTAAGGACAAGGTCAGGAGTTCGAAACTACCAGCAGCTCCTTGAGAAAAAAAGATGAGGCTTTCCACCCACATGAAGTTCCAGTCTCGAGACCGTTCTGCCCCGTCCTAGAGGGTCACTGTGAGTCGGAATCCACTCAAGAGCATT